AAAGGACACGCCAGAGACACTGGCAGTGTCACATGCAGTGTCCCGCCTGCAGAGGTGACAAACCACAGCTGCCTTTGGCATGACACATAAAGAGGGTGAGCACGTAATGCCACATCCCCGGAACAGCCTCAGCCTCCTCTGCCTTGTGGCTAAGGACTGCTCAAGCCATGGGTCCTGCCTCCATTTAGTGCCTGGTTTGTCCTTCAAACCCCTGCAGACAGCTTGCCCACATGCCACCCCACAGCCATGTAACCTCCTCCTGTGTGGCCTTGAGGCTGCCGCTCCTGATATCCCACCACACTCCCAACAGGAGCAAGCAGGGGCTTTTCTGCACTGATTTAGCAACAAGCCACAGCGGCCACGTGCATGTCGGCAGCAAAAAGTGAAAGGATGCTAGTGGGGAGAAAAAGCCTCCATTCCAGCAGCTAAAAAGCCCTATAAAACTCTAAAGTATCTCCAGAGCCCACAAGAGTGCAGAGAGTGAGGCTGTCATCTGCTGAGGCAGAGAGTGTCCTGGTAATGCAGTGGTGAAAAGATTTAGAAAAATGCCAATATACTTCAAGGGAAAATAAATGTCTGTGGACACATTTGCTCCCAGCGCAGACTCCAGCTCGCTGTGGCTCAGTGCATCGCCTCCTCGAGCTGGAGCTGGACAGCAGTGCTCCAGAGAGAAACCAGATGTGCAAGCCCAGGCAGGCTCCAGATCAGGAAGGCTGCTGTGGTTGTCTCTGTCCATCGACGGAGAGTTTGCTGCCACCTTAGGGTCTGTCAGCACAGCTGAGGAGCTCGATCCCAGCTCCTGTGAGTGTAACATACTGGTGGGAGCTGGTCTGCTTGGCTGCCCATGCAGCCTCATGGTGAAGCACCATCTCCCTCTGGCCAGGTCCCCCAGGAGCAAACCTGGTGGCTAAACCCATGCTGTAATAAACATCGAGATAGTCCAGTTTCATATTTGGGATTTGCTGGAGTATGAGACTCTTGCTGCCAATAGGAAATTGCAGACAATAAAAAAAAAAGGAGCCAATGTTGCCTGGAGTGGAGAGCAGTTGCTCTGAAGATATGCAATGTTGTTGTCACATCTTGTCTCCTCCAAATGGTTGCACTGCTTCACAAATCGGAACATCCACCAGCACAAAGACTGGTAGGAGTCTTCACATGGAGAAGGAGATGAGCTCAGGTTCTTGTGAACTCGGCACTGTGTCTCATCAGAAGTCCTTGGGTTCATTGACCACCCACAATGGCGGGGAAAGGGAGAGAAAAATGATGGAAGTGACAATCCATTATGTCACTTATGGAAGGTCCTGCAGCAGCAGTGCAAGAATCCACTGACCAGCACCTGCCAGGGCATTCAAGGGCAGACCAGTGCTCCAGAGAGGAGCTGCCCAGTCACGGGGAAGAAGCAGCACCCAGGAGGGACACCAGAAAGGCAGCAGCAGAAGGGCAGCCAAGTATAGCAGAAATATCTTCACCATCTCAAAGTGTTTCAGAGCAGGTCAGTGTTTTCCAGGGGGAACTACACTGTGGGCCTCAGGAATCCTCTGTCAGTGGAAGGATCATCACTTGGACAAATGATGTTTGGGGGACTGAGGGTGGGAAAACCTTTTCCAGACTGAGTAGCTGAAGATCACAAGTGCCAAGACCAGGGAGAAGGAGTCTGTATCTCAGTAGCATCTGCTCTTCAGCCCCACTTCAGTGCTATGGCCCTATGGTGAGGGCAGCAGCTCAATAGAGAGGGAGAGAGAACCTTGTTCCTGGTGGCTGCAACACCAAGGGGTGAACACAATGGCAGTGACACGTCTCACAGCAGCAGGCAGCTTCCCAGAGCCTACCTCCCACCTCTGAGGGGGCCCTGCCCTCAGAGGCAAGCTGGGGACAGCTAAGTGCTCAGGGACATGGCTGGATTAGCCTCTCCTTGTGTGAAACAACTGCGTTTGGCTCTTCCTCCACCAAGAACTGGAAGAAAAAAAACAAAAAACAAAAAACAAAAAACCCACACCCCTTCCTGCCATCTGGAGAGTTAGTCGACACAAGCCAAAACATGTGTGCCATATGTACACAGCTGTGGAGCGCAGGGACGCCGCTGTCAGCCCATCTGCCCGGCATGCTGAGTGCCAGTCGCCTGCCCTGGGGTGGGCTGCTGAGACAGCGAGAGTGTCCTGTGCAGAGGCATGACTTCCCCTTCCTCCTCCTCCTCACCAGGCATGGACAGGCTCCCTGCAGCTTGGCTGTGGTGGGTCTGATCCTACAAGCAAATGGGGTTTTATCTCACGCATGCCAGTGAGGATGGGTATCTCCAGCCCCGTACATCCAAACGCGACAGGGAAAGGGATGACACCTGCGTGGGTGTTGGGTACCAGTGGCTGAACAAGGCTCCTGCTTCCAGCAGCTCCACATCCAGCACCTGAGCCCTTCCCAGAGGAGAGTGGGGCCGGGGCTGGCTGTGTGCAAGCACGGCACTCTCCCCTGCTCCTTGCCCGCCTATCTGCGGGGAGGTATCAGTTTCAGTGCCTCAGGAAAGGCCTCCCAGCTGCTTAAGAGCCTGATATGTGATGACAAGGAGGGGACGGAGGACTAACCAAGGAACAAGAAGCAAACCGAGGCCTGTGGAGGACAGCACACAGGGATTGCTTCAGGCATGTGAAAAGACAGCGCTGACCTGAGGCAAGAGAAAGCCTCCCTATGGCATGTGTGCCTCTGCCAGCGCATCTCCCTGCCCCTGCTTCCCGACCCGCTGACCAGGGTGTGACAGAGAGCAACGTACTGTCCTCTGATCCGAACCGCTCCTCAAAAGCCTCCCCTCCGACCCCGGCGTGAATGACTTGAGTGACAAGGCAGCGCTGCGCGTATGTGCAATGAAGCTGACTGTCACCTGATGTCACGCACGGCACCAGGCACGCCGCTGGCAGCCCCACAAGAAATGAATACAAATGTCATCCAATGATGGTCGGGACAGCCAGCCCACCCCTCAGCAAACTGCTAGTAAGGCCTCGCAGCAAACATTTCCCAGAGAATGATTTCTTTCTCTCTGCAGAGTGAATACAGCTCTGCCAGTATGTTCCCGTGCTGACCCTAGAGACCGGCTTTCATGGGAAGAGAGGACAGCAACTTGTTCTCCAGGCTCTTTGGACTCCCAGCTGAGTCCACAGCTGAAATGATTTATGGAGACAGGGCCAAGGCCAGGAATCTGAGGCTTTTCAAGAGTTGCCCATTTCCCAAAAGAGTGCGGCTTTAATTTGTTGCCTGCCTTGACTCCTGCTTGAGGCTCAGCCTAGAACAAGATTGCCAGTGATTTGGGAAATCAGTGCTACTTCCCCTTGTGGTTTTGGTGGTGTAGATGTCTATCCATGGAGAATTAGACTGACACTTCCAAGTGTGTTACACACGGTCACCAAACAACCGAAATATGGAAGCAGCTTATAGAAATAAAGTATATCAAGTCTGGAGTCTGCATGTACAAGGGGAAGCCTCTCAGCACTGGGGGACAGCGTCCAGCACACACTGGATTACTGGGATTTATAACGGGAGCTGTCAGATCCCACCACTGCACGGTAATCAAAAATGTTTTAGTTTAGATGCTCATCGGCGATTCCCTCCTGACATACAGCCTGAGCTCAGGGCTGGAAGTCTGTTCACAGAAGTAGATGACGGGGAAGGATTAAATCTTGGGGTACAGCTACTCAGCACACAGCAGTCACTGAGAAGGGCTGCAGGCAGCATGATGGAGTTAGGAACAAGCAGAGCTCCTCTAATCAAGAAAGAGCATTGAGTCCTAAAGCGAGCACACTTGCGGAATGACTTGGATTAGTCATGTTTGAAAGATGGTAGTGAAAAGCCTGGGTGCATGAGCCCCGCTGCGAGCAGAGCACACTGCTCCCACCAGGATGGAGGGACCATCCTGGGAGAGGCAGTGCTCAGCATCTCTCATGACCAGACTCATCTGCAGCTCTCAGCCCTCCAAGCCCTGTGCATCTCCTCCTTCCCACACACCTGGAATAGTCCCATCAGCATTGACCAGAAAGGCAGAAAAGCCAAAACAGCTGGGCTTGCAGAGTGTGACAGCACATCTTTGTCTATCAGTGAGCTGTTACACAGTGCCTACACACAGTGAGGGCTGAGTACTGGGACCAGGGCACTAATTTATCCTTGTACAGAAGATGCAAGAACCTTGCGAATTCTCTGGATCTCTCCTCATCTCAGGAAGGTGATAGAAGGATTTAGTCCAAAACATCATTTACCCTTCAAAAGCTCCACCCTGACAGTGAGAACCCGTCCATTATCCTTCACAGACGACCATGAGGATTTTCAAGTCCTCTCACCAAGCAAACGCGGCACTGCACACGCTTCGAACACACTACAATAAAACTCACGGGAAACTGACTGACAGAGGACCACAACTCGACTTGCCCTGTCAACAGACAGGGCACACGGAAAGTTTCAGAGGTTGCTGCAGGAACCCCAAGCGCCCTGAGGGGTCAGGCACCCTGCATCGAAGTCAGCAAGAATATGGTGCTGCCCAAATTCCCAGTGATCCCTCTGGGGCAGCTCACTGCAGCCAGACGCTAGCAAGTACACGTGCTCTTGGTACACGAGCATCACCCCAGCTCGCAGCTTGGCCAAGTACCTCTCTCCACACTCTGGTCTCACTTGGAGGGATTTCTCGGGTTTGTGTTATTTCTTTCACCTCCGCATCATTCCCTCTTTGGGGAAAAAAAAAAAAAAAAGTAGTCCAAAACTTTCTAACTGCAAGCAAATTAAAAGCCCTTATTTATTTACCTTGAGCGTTAGCACAGTTCTAGGGTTGGTACTTCCAGGCATTTTGAACCGACTTCCCCTCCTGTCAGGCGGCTCCTGCCCTTCACCTCCCCCGGCCCCCGGCAGCGCGGGCGCTCCCCCGCGCCCTGCGCACCCACCGAGCCCCCCGACCCGCGGCGCGCGGCGGGGGTGGGGGCTGGCGAGGCGATGCCCGGAGCCCCCCTGGCAGTGCGGGCGGCGGCAGGTACCTGCTTCCGCAGCGCCTCGAAGGCGGCGCTGATGGTGTGGACGCGGGTCCTCTCCCGGGCGTTGGCCAGCAGCCGCCGCGTCTGCTGCAGCGCTTTGATCTCCGGCGAGACGCCGGACGCCTCGCCCGGCCGCGGGCGCGGGGAAGCGGCGGGCGGCGGCGGCGGGGCGGCGGGGAAGGCGCTGCTGTTGGCGGCGGCGGTGCCGGCGGGGCCGAGCGCGGCGCTGCGCGGCTCCCAGGCGGGCTGCGGGGCGGCGGCGGCCGCGGGGGGCGGCGCGGGGGGTGCGCGGAGCGCCGTCCGCCTCCCGCTCAGCACTTTGAGCTCCACGCGGAAACTTTTGCAGCCGCCGTGCTTGCGCCGCAGCCGCCGCAGCCCCCCGAGCTCGGCGGGGCAGAGGCGCGGCCAGGGCTCGCCCTCGGCCAGCGGCGCGCTCCGCATGGCGCGGGGCGCTGCTCGGCTCAGCCGCGGCCGCTCCGCCGCTGCGCTGCTCCCGGTGCTGCTGCTGCCGCTGCTGCCGCCGCCCCGCTGCCGCCCATCGGAGCCCGCCCGGCCGCGGCGGGCAGCGCAGCCCCGGCGGGACGGCTCCCTCCGTCCGCCCTCTCCGAGCGAACGTGAGCCCGCCCGCAGCTCCCCGCAGCTCCCCGCAGCCTTGCCTCCCGCCGCCGGCAGCCGGCCGCCGCGCAGATGAGCGGCTTTAAAGAAACAGGAAGGCTGGCCTCTTTTTTTTTTTTTTTTTTCTTCCCAAAACAGCTGTGCTGCCAATCTCCTTTGTTCATCCCCCCACCCCCCTTCCCTTCCCTCCCACCCCACTCCCACTTTCTTCTTTAATCTCGCTCTTCCATGCGATGGAAGAGAAATCCTGCCCCCCGGAGACTCGCCGCGACCCACCGTGTGCGCTTCCCCCCCACACAGCCCCCCCAGCCTCCCGCCTGGCTTCCCCGGGGAAATCTGTGATTTGCTTTGGTTTCCAACCCACTTCATCCCGCTTCTCCTCTCCTATCACTGCTTTCCCGCATCAAGACCCTCATCTGCAAGGCGGGGGGTGCCTGACTTCACGTTGCCTTCCTAAATGCTCCCGGGAGCACGGCGGGCACCCCTGCGGGATGGGGAACTGGGGGAGCTGCAGCACCTCGCAGACGTCCGTCCCATCGCTCCTGGAAACCTTCGGTTGCTGCTCTGCTACCGAATCGGATCCACTTGGAAGAATTATTCCGCAGCGAAACGGGCTGCCCTGTTTTTCTCGGGGATAACAAGGGAGCCCGCACGCGTGGGTACTTGCCTTCTGCTGGCACCCTGAAACCCCTTAACTCCCCTTACCCCAGCCATGCTGTGGGGAGCAGAGCCAGGGGTCTGGGCAGGGTGGACAGGCAGGGTGGGAGGGAGGGAGGGATGGAGAGGTGCAGTTCACAGTCAGAGCTGTGGCACAGCTGGGAATAGAATGCATTTCTAAGGATTGTAGGAAAATTCAGGATAGAAGGGACCTCAGGAGACCCTCTGTCATTTTTAAAAGTATCTCTGTTATTTAGGTGTCTGACTTCTGCTTTCAAGTCACCTTAACCCTTAGACAACATTAAGTCATACTGAGAATCACTGGGATGTAAGCTGTGAGATGCCTGAATTCACAGCAGAGAATGGGCATATTGGTTCCTAACCCTCCTCCTTCTCCCAGGGCATGTCAGCCTAGCAGCCATCAGCACCACATGGGGTGAGCAGAGGGAGCTTCTGTTGACCTAGCTGAGGTCCACGATGCGAGATGAGCTCTTGCCTGGTGACTAATGTCCTCTGCTTGGTGCTGCTGTGGCCAGGCTGCGCCAGAGCAGACACAGCAAGGAGTTCTTCAGGTGGAGAAAGCAGAGGTACTGGAGATACTACTGGAGAAGATATGCTGAGCCCTGGTTCAGCACCACATCTGTAACACCCGTGCTGCCTCCTCCGTTACATGCCATGTCCCAGGTGTCACTGCAGTTTGATTTTCTTTTGGAGAAGGATTTAAGGTGAGTCAGTTGAGCTCAGAAGTGCCTGACTTCCCAGTGTGGGTAGCAGCACCCCCCTGCCTTGTGGTGGTGCTGGCAAACTGCCCTAGAGCCTGTGAATTATTGCTGCTAATGCTAGGGCATGCCTTAATGACTATTTTCTCCGTCTTTCATTTGAGTTCCTCTAAGTCTCAAAGTTGAGAGCCAACAAAGGGATTTTCAGTTGACTAGGTTTCTCCCAAATGTCCCTGTGAGTGGCAGTAGCACCAGCCCCTCCAGCAGGGTCTGTCCTTCAGTGGAAGCATGTGTTAAACATTTGGTTGCTCTTCTCAAAAGAGGAGGATCAAACCCAAGATCTTGGACAAAATTACAGTCTCAGCCATTAAATTCTGCCTACCTAAAATCCCCTGGCTCTTCCAGCTTAACTCCAAATCCATTTGGGTGGTAAATAGATGGAGCCCATTAAAGTAAAAGACATTTGCAGCCATTTTCACAGGTTTTTTCTCATTTTGCCCTTAAGGCATGTGTGCCTTCTGGGCGCTGGTTATGTAGCTGCTCCCTTGGCGGTCACTGCATTACGGAGTGCTTCCAAGAAGAAACCTAAACCTGAGTGTCCCTAGTCACATAACCTCCTGTCAGACCTTCCCCTTCTCTCCTTTTAGTATCCTTGTGGTTATGGGTATCACAGGATGGCTGGGGAGGCCCAGGTCAGGGCTGAGTCACGATGGTCCTTGTCCCTCAGGGTGACGCACTGCGTGGTGCACACAGCCCGTCCCTGTCTGTGCCCCGTTCCTGGAGGGTACAGCGAGACAGCTGCCAACCGAGGAGACAGACACTGCCTACAAACCTGCATCGGCTGCATTTACCCCCCTTTGCTTCCGTAGTTAAAGCAGCGCAAACTGTGTGTGGACTCTCTTGTTACCACCCGACTGGGCTGCTCCTGTTTGCCTTAAAGGTGATGGAAACTGAAACTTGCCTGAGACTAAACTGAAGGGAGACAGATTTAAACTGCAGTGAAAGGGTCCACGCAACCTCTTCTATCAGCCTAAGTTATTTAGATGAGAGTTACTCTTTCACTTAAGAGAGTTACTCTTTCAATTAAGCAACAGTGACTTTCTTGAAGAGCAAACCTGGCTCTTCAGTGCATGCCATGGTAGCCCCAGAACCACTGGCGTGCTTTCCACATGCAGTGGAGATGGGAAGTCATGCCTGAGCTCACAGAGACCACCTGGCCTCTGGAAATCAAAGCAGTGTGGCTGTGCTGGCACTTGTATTTGGGCTAGGAGCAGCATGGCCTCGTGCCATGCCACTGGAGAAACATGGCTTTCAGGAGCAAATGCAGAAGAATCTCCAGGTGGTGCTGACTGCTCTGTGCCATATGGATGCTGCAGCTCATTTTGCTGCGTGGTGCCCACACACCAAAATGATGGCATGAAGTGAAGGATGGAGGGAATCACCTGGCTGTGGGGGAGTAATGCAGAGTAACAGGACCATAGCTGTGAGTTGTAGCAAAGCTTCTGACCTTTCCTTTCTGCAGAACACGGTATGTCAATCTTGCCTGCACTCAGAGTTGCATCATTTTAGCAGTCCTGCGGTGTCCTATGGGTCTGTTTTTCACAGATACGGGTAAAGCAGGTACTTGGAGGGCATAGACACACTCCATCGATGGCAGAGCCCATCTGATGGTGTCACTGTCCTGTCCCACTGCCCTGCCTTCTTCTTGCTGTACTTCCATACCCTCCCTTTGCCAGCTCTGGGGCTCTCTGTGCTTGAGGTGAGCAAAGCTGTGCCAGCCCAGTGCTGTTTAATATGCCTGGCATTTTGTGACGTGGTGGTGTGGCTGTGGCTGCACGCTGGTGAGGTGGGAAAGGCGCCGCTTCTCTGCTTTGACACCCACCAAGAAAATAGCTTTAGTAGAAGCACCAGCCAAGAAGCTTGTCATGCAACTCTGATACCTCTGCCTTCAAGGGTAAATAAAGGACAAGAGGAAATGGCCTCAGGTTACACCAGAGGAAGTTTATGTGTGATATTAAAAAAAATTTCAAGGCCAAAACGATTGTCAAGCTCTGGAACAGCCTGCCTGGGGAAGTGGTGGAGTCACCATCCCTGGAGGGATTTAAGAGACATGTAGATGTGATGCTTAGGGACATGATTTAGTGGTGGCCCTGGCAGTGCTGGACTTATTACTGGTTGGACTTGATGATCGTAGAGGTCTTTTCCAACCTAAACAATTCTATGACTCTGTAATAAGGAAACAAACCCTTTACCAGTTCCCTGTGAAGGTCATAAGAGTACTGGGTAAAAATCACTGGAGAAGGGTTAACCTCTCATCTCAGCATCCTCTGGCACTGTGCTAATCAAAGTCATGGATTAACTTTGTCCAGTGCAGGGTTGAGCTCTCCCTAAAACCACACCCTAAATCACCATGGCACCACTGCCTTCTGCCAGTGGGTGAAACACCTGGTTGGGTGGCTCTCTGCCCTGATAAAAACTGATGCAGTTGGAAGAAATGGCTGTGAGACCCTGGAGTGTGTCTTCAGACAATATATTTTGGGAAAAAAATTAAGTAGAAAGGAAAGGGAAATTGAAAGAATATACCAAGTGGCCAGAATTAGTTGTAGGTGCAGTTGGGTTGTTTTAAAGGCTTGTCCTCAGTGCCCAGGAGAGCCAGAAGGACAGGACATCTTCCCCAGGAAAGCATCCTGAGCATTTCTGAGAGGTGATTCAGCTGGTGACAGCTCTGTACTTCTGAGAACCAGAACACACTTCAAATCCTGTGAAAAAACAGAGCTCTGCACTTGTTAAAAAGGAACATCTACTCTCATGTACATTTTCCAACATCCTCCTTGTGCAAGGGGAATTATTTTAAAATGCTGTTGAAGAGCAAAACCAGAAGTCTGATCGCAAGTGGCATGCTGAGGATATCAACATAAAGTTGAATCATCAAAGCAAGACTGAAATGCAGCCCTAATCCTTCTTCTTTTAATGTTTAAATACGTGTCATGTACTCTGACATTATCATTAATAGTCTGACAGCATGTGAGCAGCCGTCTTCCTCCGGAGGCTTCAGAATTCCAGTATGTGTTTCGAAGTGTGCAAGATATAAGAAAGGAGAAAGGGGGAACTTTTCATTTTTTCAGTAAAAATTCCATTGGGAGCACATTCTTTTATTGTGAAGTATTTAAACAACCAAAAAAAAAAAGAAATAAAGAAAAAGTTTGGCAGGCTAAAAGTTTTGTCCTTTCCTTAATCTGAGGGGAAAAAAAAAGGAAAAAATTGGAAAAAATGGCTCTGTTTTTATAGTTCTATGAAAAATACGTCTTAAAAAGCAGCAATTTGAGAATATAGGCAGGCAAGGAGAGGAAAAGTGAGAAAAAGCTGCTGAAACACATGTCTATTATTAGTGAAGAGAAGTGAAATTTCTCCAGCATTAGGAAAACCCTGTAGCATTGCTAAATGCCCATAAAATGTACAGTGGGAGTTGTAAGAACCCGTAAAGTTGGTGGTCTCTCATCAGTGGGGTTTTTTAAAGCTATTTGGAGACCTGGCAAATGTGCAAGGGCAGGATTATGGAATAGTCCTCTTGGATAATATGAAACTGAGGAAGGATAGTGAAGTGAGGTAGGAAATGAAAATTATTCACACGCAATGTAAATTGGAGTCATATCTGTCATTGACTTAAAATTGTATTTCTTTTTAAATGCTTATTTTTAACTTGATACAGTCAATATGCACTTAGAGGGAAAATTGCTTATGACAGTCTGAGGCTTAATTTTATTCTCTTAGCCTGAATGATGAGATTT